GTGCACTGATTCTGGTGCCTAAATGGAACCTGAGCTTATTTGAAAATTTTGCCCTTTGGGCCTGATCCAAACCCCACTGACATCAATGGGGTTTGTATCAAACCTATAGGAATGCGTCTTTTCTAGCTGAAGAGGTGTGGTCCCAATTTGAGTAGGCTAACACCAGCTAAAATCCTAGTGAAGACCAGGCAGTTGGTAGTGTTTCACATATTAGTGGGTTGAGTTAAAGACTATGCAAGATCCTAGATCTAGCACTAGGATTTTACCTCATGTTAGTTACCGTGTGTTAGCTAACTTGAGTTAAGAACACACCTTGTTTCTGAGTGAAGACAAGGCCTTCATGTCTGATTTTCAGTGGTGCTGAGCCCATAACTCCTGCTTTGGGTCAGGCCTTTGCTGTTCAGAATAGCCGCCATTGCTACGCTCATGGATAAAACTACAAGGGTTGTGATTAGTCATTGCATTGCTTGGAACAGACTGATCATCTGGGCTTAGAAAGAACATGCTTCCTCCAGGCTCGCTTATTGTACAGGTGGCCAGAGCATTCCTAGTTTCCCCTGCTTTCCTCCAAAGTATGCATCCATCACTGGCCACTGTCAGCAACAGGATGCCTGCCTGGATGGCTCACTGATCTGGTCTGGGATGGCAGTGCCTAGGATGCTCTTATTTGTGTGGTTTATCTTCCCCATTCCATCCAGCTGCACGCCGTGTCCCCAGTTTGTGCTATTTGTTGTACCCACTGGATACAACATTACTCAGGAAGCCAGGAGAGGGGGTAGAGAGCTCTCTACCAGGGAGGCTAGCAGTGATGTGCTCCTAAGAGACAGCATATATCAGCCTCATGACACGTTCACCCTCGTGTGACCTGGGGCCTGCAATTCAGCTGCTGTGCCTGAACTGAGGGATTGCTATTTGTCAGCTAAGCAGTCCTGGGCGAGGGGGGGGACGGGATGAGGAATAATGGTGACCAGCCAGGTCAGTCCTGTCAAAGAGGAGTCTTGCCATTAACAGCAAAGACCTCTGCATCAGGCCCACAATTGATTAGTTTGTACTGAAACCATTTTGCTTCACTAGAAACAGAGTTACGCCATATCTGGGTCTTACACAGTTTCTACCATGTAAGAATCTATAAACCACAAGTTGAAAAAGACTTGGATTAATTTAAATGGAAGGGATGTTGTCAAACAGTGGGACTTCAGAGCTGATCAAGGGTTTACCACAGTACCAAGTAGGGAGAGGAATTACTTAGGCAGGAACACGAAGTAATGAGGTGAAATTAAGAAAGAGAGTATCTAGGCTGCGTATTGGAAAAACCTTCCTGGCAGGGAGCTGCATTAGGGGGTGGACTTGTCTCCTTGGGGAAGTACTGAAAGCCTCATTGCTAGGTCATGGGTCTAGCACTGGAAATGTCCTGTAGGGACCAATCCTGCATTGGCCAGGAGATGAGCTGATCTCTCTGATCCCAGCATTCTGACATGAAATGAGCCATCTGCATCTCCAGAGATGACTCTGCCCACACACAGCACTAAGAATCCATTTAATAATTGATGCAACAATCAATATCGAAGCATTTTTTCAATGAAACTCTTCCTATGGGATATTTCTCTGTTCTGCTCCTAGAGTCTGTTGAAAAGTGGGAAAACCCATCTTCCTTTAGTAAATAAAGAGCCCAGGCAGCATCCTGCTAACTGAGCATTAGTGTCCCACACAGGCTGGGGCTGCAGTACAAGAACAGCCTGTCTTTGCAGCATGGCTTTCAAGCTCAGCACACTTAGCAAGGGCCCCTACCTCCTCCAAACGGGGCTGCCTGAGCAAGGGAAGGTGTAAATCCGAGGTTAGGCAGAGGGAATCTTAACCTAACCCACCAAGACAAAACACTAAGTGGAGTGGGGGAGAGTGTCTGTGGATAGTGGAGAATAAAGATCATTAGGGTCTGCCCAGACGTGAACTCTATTTAGGGCAGTGGTCCCCAAACTGGGGGGCATACTTCCCCTCCCCCCCAAGGGGGCACAGAGGAATGTTCAGAGGGGCAAGCCCCCAAGGGGAGGGGGGAGCACCCCACTGCCCTGCCCCTGGCCACAGCTCTGCCCTCATTCCCTCTTTGCCCCCCAGGCCAGTTCCGCCTCTAGCCCCAGCTCCCCACTCCCCCATCCCCAGTTCTGCCCCCAGCTCCGCCCAAGCTCCTCTGCTGAGCCAATTATGCAGTAGTTGGGGGGGTGCGGGGTGCGGACAGATTCCACTACTGTAAGGGGAGGGTGCGACAGGAAAAGTTTGGGCACCGTTGCCTTAGAGATTGCTGCGCTGAGAGCTGCTGTTTAAGGCTCTTCACATTTCCAGGGCCACCTCCCACACTAAGGGGAAATTCCACTGAAGAATTTCCCTCCTCCAGGGAATGCAGATGGCTGAGCTCTCTCCCTGCAGTCTGCCTTTGCAGGCTTGCAACCCAATAATATTCACAGCCTAGTCTGTGTGTCTCTCACTTCCCTCCCTTCTAGCCAGGAACAAAGAGAGAAGGCTTAGCAGCAGAAGGGCCAGACCAGCTGGGCAGGGTTCTGCCCCATCGTGTTCCATATGTGCTGAAATACCTAGGCATGTTGGGGTGGAATTTAAAGTAACAGTTCCAGTTTTAACTCTCCCATTCTTTGCTAACTTGAAGTTATACCCCTGCATTTTCAAAGAGTCACAGTGGGTACATCGATACTGCAGCTGGGAGCATGCTTCCCTGCTCAGACATGGACTTGGACACACACACACACACCGATGCAATTTGCTCAAGCTAGCGTACTAAACATAACAGTGTAGTTGGGGGTATCACAGGCAGTGGCTCAGGCTAAGTGCATGTGCGCATAGCTGGGGTTCTGGGTGGATTTGTCCTCAGGTAGCTAGCCCAAGTCTCCCCCGTGCTACCCCAGCTACACTGCTATTTTTTGCGTGCTAGCTTGAGCAGAGCTAGTGCACCTGCTTAGCCTACCCAAGTAGGGGAGCACGCTCCCAGCTGCAGTGTAGACGCACCCACAGGCGTTTAGCAAAACCTCTAGATTTTCAAAGCTCAATGCATGTGAACAAGTCTTCGAAAATTTGGCTTATAATGATCTAAGATGATGCCTTCCCCTGTGTTCCTAACCAGGGCCAAAGTACAGCCAGCTACTGAAGAATCTATCTCAGGCTTTATGACACCCAACATATGTTGGGGCAGGACTTGGGAGTCAGCATGGGATAGAAGTCCTACTAGAGAGGACAGGTTCACAGAACTTCCCCATCTACCACAATAGTATAGTGGCTGCCCCCAAGACGGTTAAAATATGGTTTGATATTCCAGTGCAGACCTAAGCAGGTTTTAACCATGTGTCCGAATTGGGCAAAAGCCCTGGATATATCTTAGCATTTACTGATGCTGGGGAACCAGAACCACATTTTGTGTTGTGGGGACAACTGTATTGTGAGCCAGCACTCTGACCCAGTTCCATTAATGTGTGTGTGTGTGTGTGTGTGTGGTTAATTCTTGACTCCCAGTAATTGGAGTCAACCCTCACTGACTTGCCTGGACGTTGCCTGGTTAAACCTCAAAAAGAAAAGGAGTACTTGTGGCACCTTAGAGACTAACCAATTTATTTGAGCATGAGCTTTCGTGAGCTACAGCTCACTTCATGAAGTGAGCTGTAGCTCACGAAAGCTCATGCTCAAATAAATTGGTTAGTCTCTAAGGTGCCACAAGTACTCCTTTTCTTTTTGCGAATACAGACTAACACGGCTGTTCCTCTGAAACCTGGTTAAACCTCGTAGCTCTTTGAAAATGTAGAGATTCATATTGTTGGAACAGAATTTATTGTGGTTCAATTGTAACACACACAAGTGTGTGTGTTTGTACAGGGTCTAAAACAATGGGGCCCCAATCCTGCCTAAGGGTGCTGGGCATGACCGTAATACAAATAAATTAATTAAATCATATTATAGCATTAGGTCTTTGTTACAGAGTCCAGTCTCGTCGGCAATACCGAAAGAGAAATCCTCTTGTGGCAGAGCGGAAGGGCTGCTAAGGGAATATTTACCGACCAAACGCACCAACGTTACTCTTATGAGCCTGCAAAATGTGCCAGTCTCACTATTGCTTTAAGCGAAGAAAGAAAACACTTGGTCAAGCAAGTCACTCCTCCTCGGTATAAGTTAGTTGTCAACGTCACCATTGGAAACAAAAGCAAAGATGAGACTGTGGATATAGTGGTGGCTAGCCAGTGTCTGTGGGACCCTCATTCAGATAACTTCACATCCTCCCAGTATGTGAATGAGACACTTTATTGTGTTGTTTTGGTTCATGCTGTTTATTTCGAGTAACAATCCAAATACATCTCCTTCGCATAGGAAGAGCTAAGGTATGTTATTAGCTACAAGTAAAGAGAGACACTCAGACACGGGTGTTTGATGACGAACTTGGAACTATGCCATAGCTACAGCATACACAGTGGGAAGAAACTCTAAAACAGAATAAAAATGCTAATTGACAGATGAATTTAAAGATGTGGAGAGAGACTATGTGCGCCATACATCACATGTACACTTATGTGCACAAGATGCCTTATCATATCCTATAACAATACCTGGCTCTTACATAGTGCTTTTCACCGGTCTGCCTCAAAGTGCTTTACAAAGCTAAGTATCCTCGTATCACTGGATGTATTTTTACCTAGCAGCTTCTATGCACTGCCCCTTTCTCCCCCCACAATGCTAGAGCATTCCAGAACAGCCCTGTGGAAAACCCAAACATTACTCCAGATATGAGGCAGTGTTCCTGGGAAGTTCACAAAGTCAGTTCTGGCAGCCCTCTGCCTATGGAAAAGTCAGGCAGTCACCATGAAATAGCTTTTCTACCTTGAAAATAGCTTCCATTTCATAAACAACAGAAATTATCAAATGCTTGGGAGCAAGAAAAGCAAATAATCATCATCCCTGAGAAACTGAGGTTTAACAGCAGCTAGAACATCATGCACACACTTTCTCAAATAGATTTTTAGGATACATTTTTATTCTCCATGTGAAGTGTTGTACACAAATGATAAAGGATTTTACGTTTTTTGGGTATACAGTGCAAACCCATACCAGTGCATCAATACATCATGAGGCAAGGCTCCATAAATGCACAGTGACCAGAAGTACTAGGGTATGTCTAACTACATTGTAAATCTGGGTCTCCGGGACCCAGGCTCGTGGACTCAGTGTTTCCAAGCCCGTGTTTGAGCATCCACACTGCTTTGTAAACCTGGGTTTACAATTGCTGGATCCAGGTCTCATAGCTGTGTTAACGCATCCATACTATTACACTACACAGACCTTCGGTTTGACCTATGTTCACACTGCAAAATGAGAGGGCTTGGACTTGAGTCACAACAGGAGTCGGGCTCTGACCCACCGCCCTAGGAAGGTCCTAGGACCTGTGTCCTGATTGCTTGCTGACTTGAATCTGACTGATTTGGAACGGGCTCAGGTTCAAACCTGCATCAAAGCCTGGTCTTTTGTGCAGTGTAGACATACACTTAATGTCCCTTATGGCAATAACCTCTGGATTAAGAGTTCCCAGTAGTGCAGAGTGACATGATAGACCCAAATGGCTTTCAGGGTGTTAGTGCCATGACAACGATGCACAGATCGGAGCAGAGTTACTTACCTTCTACTTTTTAATTACAAAATGAAAGTGATGACACAAAAAAATGAGGTAAAAGTAATGTTAAATGTCTCTTTCATGAAACTCTGAGATACTGCTTCCACTATCATTCTTCTCTTTCCTGGCTGTGCCAAGTTATTGTAGCAAGTATGGTCTGTCAGCTAGCCTGTAGGGATTTCTAAAATAATATATTAAGAATTATATTAAAGACACTGTATAAAATATTTTATACAAAAACATATGAAAATATATGCACGAGAAACCCAAACTGGTCAAAGGACAAGTTCAAATTGATGTTTGCATAGGAAACAGCAAACAGGTGCATGCTTGGTCTGCACTTCTTTTCAGAGGAAGCAGGTCTGGAACACACTGCTAAAATACAAAATAGGAATCCTCTTTGAGTCCTATGGCTTTCAAACATCTAGTCATATCTTCATTAAATGCTACTGAGCCACAAATCAACACAAATGGCTTTCTTCTACAGGAATTTATCATTTTCTTAATCAAGTTCTCAGTTATACGGCCAGTGTGTGTGTTTTCTTGATAGCTCCAAGGAAGTTTTTCCAGGGAAAATTCCTGGAAAAACAAAAAGTTTACACTGTATCAAGTTATTTTAGAAAAAAAGGATCATTAATACTTTAAAGAGTTAATGCTTAGACCAAACATCCGACCTCCCTTGACAGTGTTTCATCTGAAAGTTTACCCTTCAGGAATGCATCAAGGTGGTTTCTTCCAGGTCAATAATTGATGTAAATGAACCACTGCCACAGCTGTGCTTTTCCAGGACAATGCAAATCACAAAGCCCAGGATGAATCAAGTGTGAGCTGGGAACAAAGCATTCTCTGTCAAGGGGATCTGGCTGTGGAACAATCTTTCAGAGGAGATCAGGCAAATCCAGAATCTGACCATTTTTAGGAAATGTTGCAAAACATTCCTCTTTGAGTCAGCCTTCCCATCAGAAGTGACACTCACAATATGAAAACCTCCCTCTATTCCCAACCCCCTAGCCCCCCTCTGCAAAAATAAAACCCTACCCCAAGCAGAGTTTTGACCCTGAAAAGGGAGAAATGCCAGATATTCCATGAAGTCCACTAGGGCCTTTGCTATTGTTATTGATTTTATGTGGAAGGTGCTCACATACTACCATGATGGGCAACCATATAAAACTGACTGATAAGTAGACAGATAGAATTATGAAAAGGAAGCTGAACAACTTGGTGTTTAGAACAAACCTCTTATGAGAGGAAATCACAATGAGACAAGATAAGAGAAAAAAAAGTATGGACTGCCATGTATTGATTAGTGTCAAACAGGCACCACTGTCCTGTACAGGATGGAATTTCAAGACCTCCTCAACGTTTGTGACCATCTTATTCTTTGGTGGCTGCCCTGCAAAAAGGTTTTTAGGAGCAGAAGGTCATAAGTTCTACTCCCCATTGCCCAAACTGGCTAAATGTGGGACCCAAAGTTCCACAATGAGGGACACAAAAAATTATACATGCAGGAAACTTAAAATGCTGTGTGATTCACACTGTTAGCATAAACAACTTTCTACAATCTGAATGCAATGAATCTTTATTTCTGATGTTAATAATTTTCAACAATAAAAGTGAGGGAACACCAGATTTGTGTGGAACATACATAAATTTGAGACTAAATGAGCAGCGCCCCTGAAAATGAAGGCTACTTTAGAGGTAGGCTCTTGTCCATGAATTTGGTATAGTTAGCAACTTTAAGTATGTGGCCCCAACATTTTTACACATAAATGTGACATTGGCTTCATCAGAGGACTCCAGCGTGAGATGAGTTGATGAATAGCTGGGTGGATACATGCTGTAAGGTGAGACACCAAGCTAGCAGTGAACATTTGTGATGACTGAAACTAGCTAATGAATGTGAGCAGCGAATGAAAGGAGCTAACAAATCAATGCATGGGTGCTGAAAAAAGAAGATCCTTTGGGTGCAGTTTGTTTATTGTGAGTTTCACAGGGAGCTGAGAGTTTTATAAATACAATTTTTCAGATGCAGCAATGATCAATTTGGAGGGGGAAAATATTCCATGGTGGACACAGGGCAATGGGAGCTTCCTAACAGAACCTTTGTGAAGACAGGTCAACTAGTGAGTGATACAGTTGAAAGTCTGCTAGTTAGTATGAACAGGATTTAAGAACATGTTATCAGACAGATGCTACTGGATCAACACATGGCCTTGTCCACTGGTAAGCAATCAACTTAGATAACACTGAGGAAAAAGCAGAGAAGGCAGAGAGTTGTTCACCACAGAGAACCCAGGGATGAGTGTATTTATATCAGAATGTTACCTGGCTAAGGACGTAACATGTTCTGACATTCCAGTATCGAGACTGATCTTGGAGAAGAGGTTTCAAATAAATATTTTCAAAAGTCTGGAAGCAACCAACCAGGGTTATAAAGGTTTCATCATCTTCATTTTCTGTTATGTACTGGAGGATGGGGAGCATTGGTGCTATGCCAGTACCAGAGGCAAGCATAAGAAGTTCTCCATACTAGAAATTAAATGGAGGATTTTGATTGGATTATAGTAATTGGAAATGGAAAAACCTATTAGATTACTCCATTCCTCTGAAAGGGTGCGATAGCAGGCCTATAATATCAGATATGTTCTCTCATGGGGGACTGTGTCAGGTACATTTACGCAAAAAAATTAGTTTTTTCAAAGGCAAGATTTTACAAAACCCAAGCTCAACAGAAACATTTTCAGGATTTAAAAAAAAAATCAAATGAAAACGATTTTTTCTTGGATATGAACATACCCCTGAGTTTTAACCTTGATTTCAGCTAAAACATGTTGAGCCTCAGTTCAGCTGCACCCCTTGTCAACACCCCTTATCAGCAGTGGTTTATATTTCCATTGTAGACATGCCCTGAGATAAAGATGAAAGCACTCAGATCACATGTTGTAGAGTGTGGTTTGGACCGCTGCAGGAAGGAACTCTTTCCTTCTCTGTACAACTGTTTGGTGCATTATGGAAGTTCTCTACCTTCCTCAGCAGCAGTGGACATTCCAAACAAATAATAGTAATACTTACCACTTTTTATCCACAGAGCTCAAAGCACATACAAAAGATGGGTGAGCATTATAATCCCCAATTTATAGATTAGGAAGTTCAGGCATGAGGAGGGCTTGATTTTCAGAAGAGCTGAAGGACCTCAGCTACTTGCCCGAGTTCACACAGCATGTCACGAGAACCCTGGTCTCCTGATTCCCAGTCTGGTGGCCTGCCCCCTTTAGCCATGGCTAAGGACTGGATATCGGACTGGATGAACTACCAGGTAGGATCTGATAATGGCAAATCCTACGAATCCATACAAAATCAGATGAAGTGCTCACAGCCAAATGAATCACTCTCATTCAAGAGCTGGATTGAGGACATCTGAGCTGTATCCCAACAGAAAAGTTAGTGGCCTGTGGAAATCAAAGCCCAAAGCTCCATTAGACTGAGAATAGGTTTGCAAACTAAAGGGCCCACTCCAACTCCTATTGACTTCAGTGGAAGTTGGAGCCAATCTTTTATGAACAAATCTATCCTAAGTGCTATGAAACTTTCAGCTTCCTTTTATACAGGCCACTGATTTATACAGTATACTAATTCTTTGGAACTGCCAACAGTGGGAGCCAGGGGTGCTTAGCACCGCTCAAACCAGGTCCTATAGGTGCCTAGGGTACCAGTAAGGCTGGTTCCCCGTGGTACAGTTTGCAAAACCTATTCTAATTTATGAATTGGTAAATTAGCTGAGCAGGCTAGAAGCAGGGCACAGAGATAGTGTTTTGGGACTATTTTGCGATATATTTTGACTGTCCAGTTTATTGTGAATGACCTATTTAAATTGCTGAGCTATATCCACTTTTAAAGTAAGATAAGTTTTGTTGTATTTTGGTAACAAATAGCTCTGAATGCAAAAATAAAAGGGAATTTTATTTTCAGGTGTTAGCAGAACTCATAAAATATTTTCCATCTATTATCATTATTCATAAATAATATAAATAATAATAAACAGTTTGAGCTTCTATGGTGACTTTCACCCAAGGGTCAGAATGTGTTTTATGAGCTGTATTTACAGGGATGATTCACCCTCTGTTAGGATGCAGTCACCTCTGGCAATCCAGCATAAACTTGATCCACGAGTTCTGAAGGAGAAGTGAAGAATAACTCCCAACTGAAACAGCAGGGGGGATTTCAGGAGGCAGAATCTAATTGCTCTACCTGGAATTTGGCCAGATCCCTGGGGTTTTCACACTCCTATGTTGCAAGTGCCATGGGATCTCTAACGACCAGAGCCACAATTCTACATCTCATCAAAAAGGCGGGGATTAAGTAACAGTCCCTATGTTTGTGGGAAATCTCTCCAAAATTTGATATAGTCATTTTTGCTGGGGGTTTGGCATCCATACATGGGATCACTATTTGCAGCATCATGGACATAAAACTGCACACCTCACTGAAGTCTGCATAATCTGATGATATGTCATGGGCCGCATAAATATATCAAATGCTTGAGATCTGGCCCTGGGACCAGGAGTTTGACACCTCTGCTCTGGTCAAACTTGGTCTTGAACATCAATGTAGTTCAAAGTGATACAAAACAAATTTGCACTAATTTTTGGTGATAACTCTGACCAGGTTTCTTCGTTTCAACACTAATAAAAAGGATGGTCAGCAACCCCTGCTAGTGTTTTATAATCTCCCTCCTCCTTACATATTTTGCATTCTAACAAGATCCATTTACTCCAATCAACTTCAAATGCTGTAGCACTGTACAGTAAATGTGTAAATCCTTCAAATAATCAAAATAGTAATCTAATTGACAATCTCCCTTTGGTACATTACACAAAGTGAGCTGCCATGTGCTGAGCCATTCTGTATTTATTATATAACTAACCTGATTAGGGCTATATGGGAAGCCTCCAAATGGCCCTCGCCAAAAGACTGTGTCTCCTTCAATCCAGGATTTTACATATTGTGACATTAGCCCAGCCTCATAGCACTATTTAAAAAAATCACACAAAAGGAAAGAATAATTATACTTTGCTGGAAAGTTTCCCAGCTTAAAGTTAATTACAAAATTATCTCTGTTTAAACAAAAGGGGGGGAAACATTTCAGGGGTTTAAAAAATGACTGTTCTATTTGCAAAATAATATAAACTTGTAACAGTAGCAAAGTCATTTAACTGAAATGATACTGGATTAAATCCAGCTTGAATATAATGTAAACACAATACACACTTATGAAGCCTATGCTTTCTGAAGCTACGAAAGCCTATCAGAACTCTCATTTACAAAGCACACAAAGAAGAACTCCTCATAGTCAAAAGCACAGCAAGCTTTCCTGTGTTCTCCAGAGCTCAGAACACAGCCACGTAACATGGTTATTAAATGACTGGGAGCTGGAAGTGCATTCTGGGTATTGATATTCAAATGAACACCACATATTGTATACTTTGTTTCAGATCTCCCAGATGCTACAATGGCACAGCAAGTAACTACTGAACCAGAGTCAGGTTTCCCATCTGAAATGTTAAAATGGGTATTTTTAGTACAGATCATCTGAATGTGAAAGGATGCTCTGAGATTTTACAAAAATATTGACATGAACCTCACTAAAAAAGGCATTCACAAAAACTGCTCTTTTTCCTAACGGGTACAAAACCACTGTGAAAACACTGTTATTTTGTTACTGACAGGAGTCAGAGCTTGCCTGCAATAGAGGAGGACACAAAGGAAAACGCTAAAACTATGGGATCATCCAGTTAGTCCTGTTACCATCCCTAGTGGCATCCATGCTGTAAGATACTATCAGAGACATTTTACATTCAATGGGGCTTGCATCTTGGGTAGTCATTTAACACCTATGCACAGTGGGTGGAAAATGTTATCAGATTAGAACGGTTTGTATGGTAAGCATCTTACACTCACCTGCCACAAACATAAATGGCAACACAAGGTATAAGGCAGTAGCAAATTAGCATTTACTTCCTGTTCCCTACAGCACTGGGGGAAAAGCATTTGGAACTGAAACACTCTCCACACCCAAATATCCCCTCTCAATCTAAATGAGAAATGTCTGAACTGGTTTATAATTAATTTTTGTAAACAAAAAGAAAAAATATCTCCTGGGGTGAAAACTTCTACACTCAGTTTTACACCAAAAGAAACTGTAACATTATAAAAAGAAAAGGAGTACTTGTGGCACCTTAGAGACTAACCAATTTATTTGAGCATGAGCTTTCGTGAGCTACAGCTCACTTCATCAGATGCATACCGTGGAAACTGCAGCAGACTTTATATATACATAGATAAAACTACTTACAGAAGGGTGTAAAAGTATGGCTTGGCACTTAAGGACTAGAGGCCTAGGGCTAGCCAACTCTGATTACTGAAGGAACTGCTCCAGCCCACCTGTGCTGTGGGCCCTGAGAAAGACAGGTGATTCCCCTATAAGGGGCAGCAGGAAGCTGTGGTAGAGAGTGAGGAAAGGTTCTTGCAGGGAACATGAGAACTCAGAGCCAGGAGGATGAACTCCAGCCAAGTAAAGCACGGGAGTGATTGTTAAATTAGGACCCAGCTCTGGAAAAGAGGAATGGGGACTTTCTACTGAAGGGGAGAGAGATATTGAATGGGGGTTGGGGCCTGGAGGGCAATGTGTTTCTGAGGACTGAATAAATTGGATCCCAGAAGGGGACTGTTTTAAGTACTGTGGACTGTGCAGTTCTTAAGGGGCCCCGAAGAAGGGGAAACAGAGTAACCCTAGGCCACAAGGGGAGTGCTCAGAAGCTGGCTGACCCTGTTACAGAGGGTTATGCATGGTAAATAGCAACTCCCTCACTCTAAACTGTAATATCATAAACGTGATAGTGTAACAATAAGAAACAGAGGGGTTTGAACTGTACTTGGATTGCACAGTAATAATAATATAGTACTTCCCAAAATTGCCTGAATAGTGTGAAATATACTACAACCTACACAGCAAGTTATAAAAATGGGTACTTTCTGAGGAGGTGTTGCAGGTCTTTTATTACTGCCAGAGAATCACTATAGTTCCCTTTGGGATGAAAGGTTTTATATAAAGGAAAGGTATTATTACAATCATTACTATTATTATTGAAACGCAAAACCTGTGTAATAAGCACGTATACATGAAATTTCACAGTCAACCTATAAATGTATCCTATTAATGCACCTCAAATGTAGCACTTTTCCCCGATTGCCACAATAGTGAAATAACCCACCCATAAATGTCTTTTATCAAAGCTACACACATTTCTAAAGGACTACGTTCTATCATACAAATGAATAATAAATCCTCAAAAGTATAAACTCCTGGGAGACAGGCAGAGGTTGTACTCTAATCTGCCTGGAAGCTGTAGCTCTCAGAATTTTACACGTGGAGTAAAATTCATCCTCCTTCCCCCCCCCTCCAGAAATTAGCCGAGATATGTAAATTTGACGAGAAAGATGGAACTGATTTTGATTTCCTTCAAAAAATAATTATTTTTGATGACTCTGGTCCTACAGTCCTTATTCAGGCAAAACTTCCACCTAAGTCGAGGGGTGAAATCCCAGCCCTGTTTAAGTCAATTGGAACTTTGCCATTAGCTTCAATAGAGCCAGGATTTCACTCCAAACAGGTCTCAGTATCAGTTTCTAAATGTGAAGACCACAAAACAGATGCTTTATGGTTCTACACATTTTGCAGGAAAATTTCAGTTTCCCTGAAAAGTGTCCTTAAAGCAAACAACCCCTCAAGAAGCCTAATTGCTGAAGGTTCATCTTGTGATAAAGGCATTGACCAGGGATGCAGGAGAGCTGGGTTCATTTCCTGCTGTATCACAAACTTTCAAAATCCTCCATTGGCATTGACGCTGCACTCACATGACAGACTTTAGGGGTGAAACAGGACCAGAGGGGCATCATTCCCCCAGGGATTGAATGAACAGGATTTAGAACTAAGCCCTAATCCTATTCCCACCATAGTCAATTGCAAAACTCTGGCCTTGATTTTGTAAGGATCACTTAATAGGGAATATGTTGTAAATCATTTATTTACAAGACACCTTTTCTCTTTCAGTTTTGTGTACGTGAAATGACCACTCTTATCAGCAAAGCACAATTGCCAACAGAGTCCCAAATTGTTTACAATCTTATCTAATATAGACTACTTACTTTTATTAAAACTTCAAAGTATCCTTCAGCGTTTACAGGGCTAACTGGAGTATAAGCTCTCTGAACCTCCAAACCATTCACCATCCCTCTGAGAAGAAAAAAAGATGGTACAGGAAACCATTACTGGAATCACTGATTTATACTCTTTGGAGCAATGAGCAAAGGCTATTGTCTGAAACAAACAGCAGTCTTTCCTCCCCATGGGTCATCCTTTGCTGAGACAGATGTTCCCTCAATTAGCTACACATCCAGGGAGTGAAATAACCTCAGATTTCTCTGCAGACCCTTTATGACACTCCCTAGTATTCCTCCAATTCTCTAGGCAATGGCACCACCTATGTCGCACATGCAGCTTCCCCAGACAAATCCGACAAAGGAGAGTAACAGACATTTTGTGTGGAGCAGATGAATGTGCAGTATCGTGAGGAATGCTATATTGGTAAATTTGGATTGTACGCTGTTTGGGCTAGGGGCTGTTTTTCACTGTTTGTACAGCATCCAGTAAATATATAATAACTGATACATATCAATGGTGCCTACAGTCTGACCTTCTTCTGTATCTGACAGTGGTCACCATGAGAAACTAGCACAGATGACAGCTCCTCCCATGTGGCCCCTTTTTGGCAAATACTATGCCAGTGGAGCAAATGTTTTTCCTGACCTCAGCTGGCAATCAGCCACAAAGCACACAGACTTTGGATACAATATTGCACTGTGCTTAGCCACCCCAAGTTACAGGGCCTAACACTGAACTCCTGATTTAGCAGTTTGCCTTCATGCTGCTACATGGATATAAATCATCTGCTGAAATGACTACTTTTTCTCTTTTTCCTTCTGTTAATTGCTCTCCTTAGCCACCCTTAGTTCTCTTTCCCCACCACCAACACAAAGCTAATGTTGGGTAAAAATGAAGCTATGGAGTGGCTTTCACCATAAAATTAACAAACTTAAACTCATGAGTTCTTTCAACTGTATCATTACAGAAGCACAGAAATGCTGATTTACTTGGTATGAAATCTTTGTATATTGACAAACTGCATGTTAAGTCATGTAACATAGCCTGTTTAATTAGAGACAGGGACAGTACCTTAACACAATATGTTGTCCTAAACTCAATCCCAGGCTGCTATTTCCTGGCAGCTGAAATGTATACTGGCAGGTGTCCTCTGTTAGCTGTTCCACAGAGCTTATCTTGAACGCAGTAAATGTATCTGGATTTAATTCTGAATTACTACTCTGCAAGAACAACAATAAGCAATTACTGGGGTGGACAGCATCCTTTATTTCACTTTTATTTTTAAAAAACCTTGTGTGTGAATTTAGAGCTGGTGAAACTTAGGACCCCAGAAAAATGTGCCTTGAAAACTCTAGGGAAAAGCACAGATTTAAGGGTCTCTCTGCTGGTTTGTTTTTTGCAGTGTTGTTTTCAAAATCTAAGATGTCATTTTAAAAAAAAGTTAGATTTCCGATCCTACGACCAGGAAGAAAACCTTCTAAACGTGACTCAGTGCAATGCTGTCTTTCTGACTGTGCAGAGAGAGTTCAGTAGAAACGGCTCTAAGAGAGCTTAAAATCCTAATGGGGACTTAGCGCTGAACTCCAGTGATGACCATTTTAAAAACCAACACCGTTAATTATTTCACTGCTGATTATGTTAGTAGAAACCTCCAGCTTTACCAGCATGGTTGGATATATCTGAAAGGGCATTTGACAGGAATAAAACTATGTTTTGAAGAGTCAAATAATTGAATGCTATGTCAAATATTAATTTTTATCCTCAATATATGAACTTGAAAATGAAGTAAAATAAAAGTTGTCCAAGGTGAACAGTGAATGCTATCATGGTAGAAGAGATGCCAACACTCTGCCTTTTTCCCTAAAAACTTGTTGCCTCATGCTGTGGAATCATCACCTATTCTATTCTACACAGGGCACATCACTGTAATATCTGAACACTTTCAGTAGTGCATTAAAAATGTGCGTAACACCTGTCATGCGTTGTTTGTTCTCTCATCCTCTCCCCAAAGGAAGACGTATGTGCAGGAAGGTGTCTTGGTTTGGTAGGATTTTAGAGGACTTTACATGTTGCTATGTATTTATGTTAGCGACAGCAAGTTCAAAAAAATGCGCCTTGCGCTTGGAGTGGAAGATGGTGAAGTTTATGATGGCCCTTAATTTTCTGGGTGAGTTCATTCCACAGTCTCAGACTGGCCCCAAAGAAAGTTCTCCTGCACAAACAAGCTTTATCCTTATTGTATCACCTTCATGTGATGTGAGCTTGCTGCAGTGGCACCAGAAACTGCACTTTAATGAGGTACATAATGAAATCCAGAGAGTTTCGGAACTTTCATTACAGCAGATATTGTGGGGGAAGTCTACATTCTTCTAGTAAAAGACCATTATAGATCACCCCACCCTCAGCTATCAAACAGCTATCAAACGCTTACAAACACAAATGTGATAAAAGTACTGACTGACTGGATGCTATGAAAAAGGCCTTTAAAGTCCCTACCTCCTCCTTCTGTTTGCTCAGGAGGCTTCTGTCTTTCTTTGCTTTGGCTTCTTCCCACTGGGCTAGCTCCTTCTGATACACATCATAGACACACGGTTTGCAGCCACTGCCACAGCACTGAGATGGCAAGGGTTCAGTAGGCATAAGAGAGAGCCAGTCATCCTCACTTTCACTCATTACCTACAAAACACAACCCAAGCATCATTCACAGGGCTACTTGTTTTAAGGAAGAGGCACACATGAATCTGGTGTTAGCTATCTGCTGCTTTAGAGACATCCATCTCAATATGTTGAAGATTTAATTCAGGAGGCATCCAAACTTTATCTAGCTGAAGACACATCAGCTAACTTGATACAAGCAACGCTCCATCTTCATTTAGTGGCTGCAATCCTCTACTTTAACACAGAATTGTTATACTGCATATGACCAATGCCCTACAAAGTCTAGTATCCTGTCAGTGACTGTGGCCAATACCAGACGATGCAGAGGAAGGTGTAAGAAACCCCTTATCAGTTTGGTGACCGGTTTATGCCCAGCAGAATAATTGTCTGTACTGTGTACACATTAGACAGAAAAAAGAATTTAACTGTGGATGTTCTCAGTATTCATATAAATTGCTATATTTTTTAAATCCTAGACTCAGCTTCAGTAACCAAAGAGGAGCATTGTGACCTAAAATTTATTATCTCTGTGGGCCTACATTAAAGATAAATACAGGGTGTGCTCTGGTCCCATCTTTATCTTGCGTCTTTCTCTAAATCCCCTCCTTCTTTATTTTGTTTATTAAAGTGCTGTATTCAACGTGAAAAGTAACATTCTAAAATGTGGCCTGCAGCTGCCCCAGCTTTTAATAGAGAGGTCCAACCTCTGGGAGGCTGGAAGATAAGCGATGCTGGAGAAACATAGGTGGTGGTTAGAGAGAGGAACTTGACAGGGAGCAATGTTTAGTGAAATCAGTCGCGTGAAGGGCCATTTTGGTGAGCAAGAGAGTTGCTACAGGGTTAGAGATCGAATAAGTAGGTGAGGGCAAGGACTGGTAGAATTATCTTTAACTCCCCATCCAAATATCCTTATATTAGACAGTCCTAGATCATGTCCTATCAACAGAAGTCCCAAAACCGACCTCTGTGGAACATCATAACTTTTTAATGTATTGCTAAACTTGATATTATTCTCAGTGCTTTGGCATATACTGTTAAAGAGTGTTTGATAAGAGCTAGATATTATTAATGCTCTATCATTCAAACATGAGGAAAATTATAAAACCACAAGTGGCAGCGTTGAAGAATACTTAACACCTATAACCATTTTCATGGTGCTTTATGAGCATTAAAACTTATCTTCACACTTGTGACAAACATATTATTATTCTCATTTTACTGATGGAGAAATGGAACACTAAGGCCAGTATTTTGAAAAGCGGCCACTGATTTTAGCAGTCTAGCTGGAGGGAGCAACACGCTGAGCATCCATCGCCCCTAGCAAAGTCAATAGGAGTCATGGGTGCTCAGCATGAGCAGGTACTATGCCCCTATTTTTCTGATGGAAAAGAGCCTAAGACATTAGGGAAGGCAGGTCTCTGCTTTGGTGAGTTTCCAATCTGGACTGAGAGTAGGCAAAAGGGGCCTGTACAACACAGGAGCAGTGTTTGGGGAGGGCGTTCAATATGCCCCTCAGCTCTGTGATTCAGGTATGGCTGTAGCATGATAAATCCATCTTCTCCCTGCAGTCCAGCCCAGCCACGCAACTCCATCATGCTACCAGGCAAAGGCGAGACTGGGAGCCTGCTGTTCTCTGTAGCTATGGGAGGTGGCAGCTAATCATCCCAGTTGGTGGGACCCAGAGTCAGGGCAGATTGCAGGGCAGCTCTCTTGAAGCCCCAGCTCCGGAGTCACAGGATTATGGGAGAAACTCTGCATTCATGGATGGACAGTTCCAGCCTGTGCCATGGCAGAGACAGGCTTGAAAATGGGCCCCTCAGCTAGGGTTGACAGGTGTCCAGTTTTTGACCAGAACACACGCGGCTTTGGTCAGCACTGCTGACCGAGCCGTTAAAAGTCTGGTGAGCAGCACAGTGTGGCTAATGTAGTCTCCCTGCCTGACCTGGCTTCGTACAGCTCCCGGAAGTGGCCGGCATGTCTGGCTCCTAGGCACAGGGGCGGCCACTGGCTCCTGCCCCGAGAGCTGGCTCCGCAGTTCCCACTGGCTGAGGGCTGCGGCCCACAGGAGCTGTGGGGGCAGTGCCTGCAGGAGCAGGCAGTGCGCAAAGCCCCCTAGCCCCTCTGTCCAGGAGCTGGACATGCCGGCCACTTCTGGGAGCCACCTGAGGTAAGAGCTGCATGGCCATGGCCCACACCCCAAACCGCTCCCACACCCCAACCCCCTACCCCAGGTCAGAACCCCTTCCTGCATCCAAACTCCCTAATAAGGTCCACAACCCCCACTCCTTACCCCAGGCTTGAGCCCCATCCCACACCCACACCCAAACACCCTCCCAGAGCCTGCACCCCAACTCCCAGCCCTGAGTCGCCTCCTGAACCCCAAACTCCTCATTCCCAGCCCAACCCCAGAGCCCACCCCCTCAGCTAGAGCCCGCACCCCCACCTTCTGCCCCCTCCTATACCAGCCCACACCCCCTCCCCCACTCATAGCCCCCTCCCACACTCTGAACCCCTCAGCCCCAGCCCAGACCCCCCTCCTGCACCCCAAACCCCCCATCCCTGGCCCCAGCCGGAGCCCTCACGCCCCCACCTCACCCCACCCCCAGCCCAGAGCCCCCTGCACCCCAAATCCCCAGCCCCACCCCAGAGCCTGCATCCCCAGCCAAAGCCCCCTGCCCGGTGAAGGTGAGCGCGGGTGGGCGGGGGACGGGGCGAGCGGGGCAGGGGTGTGCGGGTTCGTGGGATTAGAAAGTTGTCAACCCTGCTGACTCCGCAGCTGGCGGGGCAGGGCCCGGCCCCGCTCCGGTCACGACTCTCTATAGCCCAGGTGGGGTGGGCACCCCAGGGCGTGGGGCGCCTCTGCCCAGCCCCCCACGCACCAGGTCCCCCCAGAGGCTGCGGCAGCGGCCGCTGGCGCCCACGGGCCGTGGCTGGCGGAGGACGCTGGGGGCCCCCGGAGGCCAGGGGCCCGGCTGGGCCGGACGCGGGGGTAGCTCGGGGACCGACCGGGATCCCGCCCGCCGCTCAGGCCCGGCTCCTCACCCTGCCCCTGAGCCATCCTCCGGCTCGCGACCTACCAACGGCCGCGTGCCCTAGGCCACGCCCCCGCCATTCGACGCCCCCAGAGCCCGACTGGCGCCGCGCCCCCTTTCGTCGGGAGGGCGGGATCAGAAAGGGCTCACGCAGGCGTCATTGGCCGGCGGTGCCGCCAGTCGCCGGGATAGCGAGCGAGCGCGCTGCGTACCCGGTGTGCCCCGCGCTAGGGAAAATGGCGGCCCCCAGTCGGTGACTCTTCCGGGTGGCTGGGCCGAGGAGGGCCAGGGCCGGAGTCCCTGACGGGAGCCGAGCATGGCGGGGTTGTGGTGGCCTGTGAGGCCGGCGGCCGGGGCGCTGCGGGCGTGGGGCCCGCGTGGGCCGCACCGCGGCAAGACTGTGCAGGCCCCGGGCAGGCCGCTGCCCCGCACGCCTTGGACCACCCGCGGGCCGCCCCAGGGGGCCCCGCTGCCCCGCAGCTGGCAGGACAAGCGGCCGGTGCAGGAGCAGATCCCCGGGCTGGAGCAGGTCACCTACGCGGGCAAGCAGTATTTCGTGCCCTGGCTGGCCCGGCCCCGCCACCCGCGCTGGGAGCGGGGCTGGCACGACCCCCGGCACTCCCCGGGGCCGCGCTACGAGGCGATGCCCCTCTACAAGGAGCGCGTCTGCTACGTGTGCCACCAGCGAACCAAGATGCTGGAAGGTAGCGGGCGCGGGGGAGAGGTGCTGGGTGGGTGGGTGAGCCAGGCCTCCGGGGGGTGGGAGGGGGCAGCAGCGCCCAGCCCTGCCTGGGCAGGCAGCAGGGTGGGGGTGGGGTGAAGGGCGGCCCCCGGTTCGGGCACCAGCCTCGGGAGAGCCAGGGTCAGTTCCCTGAGCTGGCACTGCTGTCCTGGGTCACTTTGGGCAAGTTACTGCAGCTCTGTGCCTCACTGCCGCTGCTGTAGCTGGGGATAACAGCTGCTGCCCTGCCCTGCCCGCCCCCATCGCGCTATTATAAATACATGAGGTTGTGAGGTGCTCAGATGCTACAAGTGTTGGGGTCATATACATACCTTAGATTGGGAGGAGGGGTGTAGAAGGGCCTGCCTGAGAGAGCAGGAGTAGCAGTCAAGGGACAATTACAATAATATGCAACAACTAGCTGCCAGACCTAGCCTATAATTAGGACCCTACCAAATTCAGGGCAATGAAAAACACATCACAGACTGTGAAATCTGGTGTTCTGTGTGCTTTTACCCTATACGAATTTCAGAGAGGAGACCATCATTACTCAAATAGGGGGTTCTGACCCAAAAGGGAGTTGCAGGGAGATCACAAGTGTGGGGGTTTTTTGGGGGGGGGAATCACTGTATTGCTACCCTTACTTCTGTGCTGAGTGGCTGGAGAGTGGTGGCTGTTGGCCAGGTGCTCAGCTCTGAAGGCAGCACCACACCAGCAGCAGCTCCCAGGTAAGGGTGGGAATACCGTACCATGCCATCCTTACTGCTGCTGGCAGCCGGTCTGCCTTTAGAGCTGGGCTCTCAGCAAACAACTTCTGCTCTTCAAGCTCTGAAGGCAGCACTGTCACCAGCAGTGCAGAAGTAAGGGTAGCAGTACCACAACACTTCCTCCAGTAACTTTGCAACCCACCTCCCCTCCATAACTCCTTTTTGGGTTACTACCCCTACAGTTGTAACATTGAAATTTCAGATTTAAATAGCTGAAATCATGACATTTATAATTTTAAAAACTCCTATGACCATGAAGTTGACCAAAATGGACCGTGAATTTGGTAGGGCCCTACCTATAACTCAGGTGGAGGCTGCTTGTTGTCCTAAAACAGCTCATATCAAGAAGGCATTTTGCATTGGCTGGAGTGGCTGTAACCTGACTTGTGGTGGGGTGTGGGCTCTGCTGCGCTCTTCCCCCCCCCCCCCCCCCGCTGCTCACTTGTATACAAGAATAGTGGTGCACATAGTAGTCTAGCACCGACTTTCTCAGGAGGGTGGACCAACAAAAATACTGGATTAGTCTGTAAGGGCTGCAGGTTAGGAACTATGTCCCCTTAAGGTACAGGGCTGTGTACAGTGGGGCTCTGACTTTTGTTGGGGCCCCAGCTACTATGATAATTTAAAGAGAAAGCTAAAACTTTGGCAAGGGGTACAGGCTCTCTTTCCCTTTGGTATACCAGCACTTAATTTCAGATGAACTATGCATGCAGCAGAATGCAAGATCCCATTTATGTTTAACATTAAGTATAATATGCAAAGAAATGTTTTTACCCCGTTCTTTGCTGTGCTATACGTAGTCCCTCATATCTTGTTTCCTTGTAATTCATAAGCCAATATACTAGAATTAAAAAATGAGTAGGGAAAAACACTTATAAACTAACCTCTTTCAATAAATATTGCATGGTGTAACTTATATGGTGCTAATGAGGCATGCATACTTTTTTCGATGTTGTACATAAATGAAAGTGGTCAGACTACATAAAATTAATGTTCCTGATAACTTGGTCATGCTGAGAAGTATTCTATATTAGTGGTAGCATAAGTGCTTAAGATTCAATAGGTAAAAGACCATTTTTATATTAACCCATTTATGGCATAGGTAACACTGCTGAATATCTTCAATAAATATATTTTGATTTGACTCCAAGGAGTAAGGCAAGCACTCTGGCTAACAAAGACCAAGCTAATGGAAGGCTTACCTCCAAAAGTACTTAGTATTATTGATGAACCAGCCAACCAACTAGAGAATCAGGATGAGCGAGTACAAAATGCAGTTTCTCATGCACGTGTCTGGAATACCACTGAACTTATTCCCAAGAGAGAGAGTTATTGGTAAGTCCTCAAAAGTTAAAGAAATCTTTACTTATACTGCAGCCTTTTCAGGGCAGCTCTGCTTCAAACAGCCCGTTAAAAGTATCAGGTTTTTTTAAAACTATATTACCAGCAGAACATTATATTTACTGTTTAATGTTACTGAGGTGAATTTAGTTTATCTGGTTGCCAGCACTCACTTGTTTACAATTGTACTTGTGAGTATATTCAAAACTTGTTTTCATCTTATGTCAAAGTGTGTAACAGTCTGTGGGTTTGTACAAACTTAGTTCTATTTTGGATCACATCCTAGCTAATACAGATGTCAATTGTTTTAATAATTGAAAGTAAACATTATCATTGCCAACTTGGAACATGATTGGTATGTCAGATGGATTGAAGTATTAAACAAATCTGCATTAACCATTTGGAAACGTTACATATTTCATAACTTTCAAAGTCATTTTTGTATCCTATCCTACTAATCCTTGTCTCATTCTAAAGCCCTGTACTCTTGGAAGACTTGTTACATTTGTGTAGGACAATGGCTAGCAAGTATCCTTCCCTCGCTAAAAGAATGTTGGCTAGAGACTACAAAGTGGCGGCTACATGGGAGAGAGGTTAGTAACTTCTTTCTTTTTTTTTTTTTTTTTGTAGAAAACACTTCTCTCTTTCTCTTTACTTGTAATCCTGATAGAATCCTAAAGAACTGATAATTTGTTTACTACAGTGTGTGCATGAAATCTGTACAATCTTTCAAGCCACACTTACATGGGATCAGTAGCTAGTGAACTAAATAAATAGAAGTGTTATTTTTGTATTCTGTGTAAAATGTTGTCTCCAGTTGGGCTGCTACTTAACAATCGTGGGCGGGAGGAGGAGGGAAAAGAGAGGTGCCTTGCAAAATAAATCAGTATTTTTGCAGTAATACTATTGTGACACTTCATGGTTGACTCTGCAGGGGTCAGCCTATGGCTTCATTTTTCCATAGAGTATTAAACATTAGCAAATGAAACCTAGGGCATCTTTTCCTTAGAATACATATTACAGTAAAATTATAGCAATAGAAGAATAAATCTAATAGTGTGGTAGATTTATTCTAAATTAAGTATGAATGTTTAGTGAGTCTTTGTTTAATGTGTGCATGCAATATAATCTCTTTTTACAGAATCATCTATTCTTCAGGTTCGTGGCATGAATGGAATACTTTTGAATGCCATTAATCCATTATTGCCAATAGCCTCCAAGGATGAGATTCTGGCTACTGAAAACCACATTCTAGAGACCTTCCATCCCATCTCTCCTACAATTGATCTTCAGGAAGTTAATGTATATGAAGAACGAAATTATACAGGTAAAAGTTACGTAGCACTTAAACATTAGCTTGAATATTTATGTACTAGTGGACAGCACTAAAATCTTTAACTTCCCCATTCCCTTAAATGTTTCATGTGCTGAGGTTAGATGGTGTACAGTTGAGAATGGATTAGCCAATTGGCTAGTGCTGCTATAGGGTATCTTACATGTTCTTCACAGCAGTAAGTCTAACCTGTGTTAATACAAATTTAATAATTACTGAAGAGAGTAAAAGAGACTAACTTTGTATTAAACTGTTTTTTTGTATCTCATGGTTACCTATAACCCAGGTTTTAGAGAGGGTTATCCCTACCCTCATCCTCACACTCTGTACTTTGTGGAATCAGCCAATGTTCGTCCAGTCCGATTTAGACCAGAACAACTCCGGGCTAAAATGCTCATGTTTGCTTTTGGCAATGCACTGGCAAAGGCCAAGATTCTGTATGGGGTACGTATTAAAATGACTGTCATACCTTACTACTTCTATAGTAGAAGTCATTGTTCATGGAGACTGTTGTAATGGTATTATCTAAAGGTGCAGTACAACCGGGGTGGTTGGAGATGAATAAATTGCAAGCCAGCAGCAAAGAGAGTTTTGCTTTCAAGTGTACAAAATTGGAGCTCACAGACTTGAAGGTAGATTGTTGAAATACTTACTTACTACCTGCACTTTATCTTAACTGTGGAGAGAGGAGGTATCTGTTGCTGAGTTTTAATTCAGACAAATATAGCACAGAGTTTGTGGTCCAAGCTTTCCTATGCCATCCCATCCTTGTGCCACAATCCTGACCTAGAAGAATGAACACTAGGTGGGAGTGGGTAGTTCAGTCCTTAGCATTGTAGCTGAAAGTTCCAAGAAGGATGCCAACCACAGTGGACTTTTTGTGATGTGGACGCCTCTCCCTTTGAAACGGGAGTG